GTTCCAAATAATAAAAATAATATAAATGTTTAGGCATTATGGAAAACCGCAGCAAGGAGGCGGAGCAATCTTAATACCCCTCCCTGCTATACATTTTTCATATCTTCATATTAGTTTCCATTTTATGCCAGTTGTGTAATTTACTTTAATAAAGAACTTAAATTTACCCTTTTTCGTCTAATTTTTTTTTTACCCTCATTTTGTTTAACCCACGGCCATTTGAGCCCAATCAGAACCGGTATCCAGAAAATACGTATTGAAATACATACAGACGTGGTCTTGTGTTATCTAATTTACTAAATAATAATAATTCAACAGCAGAATGACGAACGGAAGCCTGATCATGACGTTAGTAAGTAGCAACTTAAGTGGAAGGAAAGCTGTTTCCTAAGCTATATATTTTGTCTGTTGAGGTGAAATTTTATCTTCCGTATGAGTGTTTGGCTGCTAATTGAAGTAATTGACTAGTTAAAAACAATAGAGAATAAAAAAATGTTTAACATGTTTCAATTAATAAAAAACTTTCGAGAAAAAATAGTTCACTTATATAGGGTTACGAAATGATAATAACATTAATAACCGTAATAATAACATGAGTAATGTCTTTATTTCTAATTATATGAAATTAATTAACACAACAAGAAAAATAAACTTAAATTACATAATTATGGAAAATCCAAAATTAACCAAAAAAGGTTCTATTACACAATGTTTTGTACAGGTCGCTTGAATCTATGGCGGTTAAATATTTTGAGAACCAATTGTACAAATCAACTGAAATTAGGTATAGGGATTCAAGAAGTTGTGCTCTAATTACTCATCAAAAAAAATTTTTTTCTGCTTCATTTGTTTTCGAGATGCAAGGCCAACTTAGGACAATTATACTTTCTTTCTTATTGAAACGGCAAAATAAATTATTTTAATAAGAATGAATAAAAAAAGAAAGATGACATGCAAACGAAGACAATCTGCATACGAAGTAATTAGATGTACAATTTTTAGATCATCAGCATAAATGTAAATCTTACAATCAATATATTCACTAATGTCATTAAAAAACATGATAGATAAGATTCGTCCAAAGTCAGAACCTTGAGCTACACCGTTTGTACAAAAAAATTTAAAGGACCGGAAACCATTATTGATTTTTGCACTAAAAAACTTCAAATTTCGAGCAAGTAAAACTGTCAGTAAAGAGGAAGAGCGACAGAAAGGAAGACGAATCTGATGAGGAAGAGAAATAAAAAAAGTAAAAAAAGACGGGGAAATCGCCATTAAGAAATCAATGTTAAATAGAAGATAACACAAAAGAGTTAATGAAAATAATACAAAAGATGGGTAACACAATAAACGACATGTCCACTGAAAACAAAAAAAAACGAGAAAAGAACAAAGAGAATACAGGGAAGAAATGCAAAAGCTTAGAGCGGAAAATAAGAAATTAGAAGAAGAAAATAGAAAAATCAAGAAAACTATAAATAGATTAGGAAACAGGCTAGATCGATTGAAAAATTAGAAAAGAAAAAACAATGTGGTATTACAAAGACAAAAAATACTGAGGACCAAGAAGAGTTAAAAAAAGGCGCAGAAAGCTTTATAGATAGTAAAGCAAACAGTCGCAGGAAAAAAAGGAATTTTTTAGAAAGAAATAACAACTATAGGGGAAGCGTACCAGAAGAAAGAGATAAGAAACTTTTAAAAAGACAAACAAAACGTAAAGTCAACAAAACACGAATCTACGCAATATATAAAAGATAAATATATAAGGCAACTTAATAGGTGACGATGAAGGAAAATTAAGAAGATGGAAACAGTAGTTCGAATAAATATAAAATAGCGAAATCAGAGGAGGTCAGAGAGAAGAGCAAAAATACTGAAGTACCAAAAAAAGAACTTTAAGTAATGAAAATATAGCAATGCAAACAAGAGAGGCTAATAATGTTCTTCTATGGAGTGGGAGTGGAAATTAATAGAATCTAGGATGTAAAAAGAGTAAAAAAAAAGCGCCAATCGTAAATTTTTTGTTATACTATTCACTGCTGCCACTGTAAAAATTGATATATTTCAATTAGAAATTTTCGAAGAAATGAGCCTGAAATTGATTTCTGGATGTCGAAATCAACAAGAAAATGCTAGCTAATTTTTGAAAATGGATGGGAAACGGTTAGAAGTGTCAAAATCACTCATATCTTATAAAATGCTAGGCCCGCCCACCCCCAGTCTTCTCATTCCAAGTACTAATTTTATTTCTGTTCACTATATGTATGATCATTCATTTCATTCAGACCGGATAAAATTAGTCACTGAAATGAAGATAGGATGGGTGGACGGGGCTAATTATGTTCTACCATGAAGTGGGAGTGGAAACTAATGGAATCTAGGAAATGAAAAAGTAAAAAAAGCGCCAATCGTAAATTTTTTGTTATACTATTGGCTACTGGTACTGTAAAAACTGTTATATTTCAATTGACGATTTTGGTAGAACGATAGAAATTTTCGAAGAAATGGGGCCGAATTAATTTCTGGATGTCGAAATCTACAAGAAAATGTCTAGCTAATTTCCGAAAATGGTTGAAAAATGGTCGAAAATGTCAAACGTGTCAAAATCAGTCATATCTTACAAAATACTAGCCCCGCCCACCCGCCTTTATTTTCCTGGCAGATATGTCATCTGCCAAAGACAGTCCTATCTTATCAAGAACTGGCCCCGCCCACCCACCCTCTATATTCTTGGAAGGCATGTCATTTGCCAAAGCAGTTCTTTCTTACCAAGTACTAACCCCGCCCACCCCTAATCATCTCATTCTAAGTACTAATTTTATTTCTGTTCAGTATAAGATCATTCATTTCATGCAGACCGGATAAAATTAATCACCGAAATGAAGACAGGGTGGGTGGGCGGGGCTAATAATGTTCTCCAATGGAGTGGGAGTGGAAATTAATAGAATCTAAGATGTAAAAAGAGTAAAAAAAAAAGCGCCAATCGTAAATTTTTTGTTATAATAATTACTGCTGCCACTGTAAAAATTCTTATATTTCAACTGATGATTTTGGTAGAACGATAGAAATTTTCGAAGAAGTGAGGCCGAAATTGATTTCTGGATGTCGAAATCAACAATAAACTGTCTAGCTAATTTTTGAAAATGGTTGGGAAACGGTTAAAAGTGTCAAAATCACTCATATCTTATAAAATGCTAGCCCCGCCCACCCGCCTTTATTTTCCTGGAAGATATGTCATCTGCCAAAGACAGTCCTATCTTATCAAGAACTGCCCCCGCCCACCCACCCTCTATATTCTTGGAAGGCATGTCATTTGCCAAAGCAGTTCTATGTTATCAAGTACTAACCCCGCCCACCTCTAGTCATCTCATTCTAAGTACTAATTTTATTTCTGTTCAGTATAAGATCATTCATTTCATGCAGACCGGATAAAATTAATCACCGAAATGAAGGCAGGGTGGGTGGGCGGGGATAATAATATTCTCCAATGGAGTGGGAGTGGAAATTAATAGAATCTAAGATGTAAAAAGAGTAAAAAAAAGCGCCAATCGTAAATTTTTTGTTATACTAATTACTGCTGCCACTATAAAAATTCCTATATTTCAACTGATGATTTTGGTAGAACGATAGAAATTTTCGAAGAAGTGAGGCCGAAATTGGTTTCTGGATGTTGAAATCAACAAGAAACTGTCTAGCTAATTTTTGAAAATGGTTGGGAAACGGTTAAAAGTGTCAAAATCACTCATATCTTATAAAATGCTAGCCCCGCCCACCCGCCCTTATTTTCTTGCAAGATATGTCATTTGCCAAAAACAGTCATATCTTATCAAGAACTAGCCCCGCCCACCCCCAGTCTTGTCATTCTAAGTACTAATTTTATTTCTATTCACTATATGATCATTCGTTTCATTCAGACCGGATAAAATTAGTCACTGAAATGAAGCCAGGGTGGGTGGGCGGGGCTAATTATGTTTTCGTATGAAGTGGGAGTGGAAACTAATGGAATCTACGATGTGAAAAAAGTAAAAAAAAAATCCCAATCGTAAATTTTTTGTTATACTATTTGCTACTGGTACTGTAAAAATTGCTACATTTCAACTGACGATTTTGATAGAACGATAGAAATTTTCGAAGAAATGCGAAATTGATTTCTGGATATCGAAATCTACAAGAAAATGTCTAATTAATTTTCGAAAATGGTTGAAAAATGATCGAAAATGTCAAAAGTGTCTAAATCAGTTATATCTTAAAAATGCTAGCATTTAATAAAAACTCTTCGTCAAATTAGAGGCGATAATCTAATTTATTTTCATGTCGATAAAACAACCGATTTATGTCGCAAACTTGTTGATTGGAACTTTGACCAGTGAAAAATGTGGCAATTTATATTTGATTAGCACAAAAGGTTTGGAAAAGACAAATAAATACAACTAGAAGGTTTATTCATGAAGGTTTCTTCCGGAACCAGTTCAAGTTGAAAAAATCATATTTATGACATCAGAAGCTGCTACACGTCCAAAGTTTCATCAAACCTAAAAAAATTTTTCCTGGCTTAATTCATATTACATGCTTACCTCATGGTATAAATAGAGTAGCTGAGGAAATTAGAAATCTATTTCCAATAGTAAATGATTTAGTCAATAATGTTAAAAAATGCATAATTAAAAAAATCATTTTGTTTTATTAGACTATTCAAATTAAATATTTACATAAGTATTACCCAGAAAAATAAAGGATAAAAATGTTGCTGTTTCAGAAATAAAATAAAGATTTCTAGAATGTCTGTACTATTTTTTATTAATTTAACAGATTTACACTTATAGTTTAAAAACAAGAATTTTTGATAATTTGATATTTTGTTTTTTGAAATATGCAATGCAACTAGACAGGGCTTTCATAAAAATATTATCTATCAATTAATTAGAAAACAGTCCCTTATAATCATTTATCATCATTTTTTTACACATCAAAAAATAATAATTTATAAACATTGTGGCTGATCACTTCTCCAGGGGAAAATTCTCTAAATACGGGACGACGCATTTTCCAAATTCGTACGCTGTGTCTTCCGGTATATCTTTTTGGACACAGCACTTCAAAATTGCGGCCACTTCGTCATCATTCGCACCAGCCCCTTTCAGTATATTTGTAATGAGTTCATTATCGAAATCACCTGACTCGGTCATCACGTTGGCCTTCGTAAAGATACAGTAAAATTGATATTTATATTTAGGACTTTTATCAAAGTCTGCAATAGTTTTGATAGCATCTATCTCGGCATCAGTCAGGTCAGCTTCAGTTGCGCATTCCAAAATGATTGGCTTGAGTCCTGTTTGGTCAATGGTAAACGTAGCCTAAAAGTGTTTATAACTTTTGAAACGAAACTATTTTCAGGAAAAAATATTACCAAGGCGCGGGCTGCAAAAAGGAGAACCACGAACGGAAGCTTCATGATGACGTTAATGGTAATCTACAAATAATGAAACACGTATTTCATAATGTTTCAGTATTCAGCCCCTAAGGGTGTAAAATCTCGCATAACATTGCACCTTTAGTACCTATGTCAGATTTTATAATGTATATAGTTGTAATATGAAAAGACTGACTTACCTTGTTGCCAGAAACACTTTAAAAACAAAACTTCTTTTGACGCAAAAAATTCGAAGGACGTCCTCGAGTATCAATTCAATTTGAACAAATATAATGTGTTGCCTACCACTGAAAATCAGTCTGGAGAAACAAATATGATGCACTTGAAAGTACCAACAGGACTATATAGAATTTTAAACATAACACAACATAAAAATCTGATGTTAAAATCATTGCAGGTTTTTATTGTCATTTTTTTTAAACATCAGAAAAATAACAATAATTTCTAAATCACTGAAGCTGACATTACTTAATCATCATCGGAAACGATTTTTGCGTGCTTATAAATGCATTCTATAAACTCAAACGCAGTGTCTTCAGGTGTAGGCTTATCGGCACTGCACTTGAAAATTTCCGTCCATTCGGCGTCAGTCACTCCAGCCACCTCAAATTTACTTTTAATGACTTCGGTGTCGAGCTCGCCTGACTCTTTAATCAGTCCCTCTTTTTGTAAAATGCAGAGAAAATGTTGTTTATATTTAGGATTTTTATAATAGTTTCCACTAGCTTCGTCACGCTTTATTTCTTCATCAGTCAAGTCATGTTCACTTCTGCAGCTCAAAATGGTTGGAAAGAATTCGCTCATTTTTCCTTCATCGAACTCAGCCTGAGGTTTTTTTTATAAATATTGCAAAATGAAACTGTGTTGAGAAGGAAATCTTACCAAGGTACAGGTTGCAAAAAGGAGAATCACGAATGGTAGTCTCATCATGGCGTCAATGGGCGTGCACGGTACTTGAATCGAAGGAAAGCTGTTTCTGAAGCTATATATTTGAGCTATTGAGGTCAAACTTTATCTTCCGTACACTTCTTTTAGTGTTAATGGAATTGTGTTATCAACTAGTTATCCAGACACAATAGAATATAAAAAATTGTGGAAAAATTTTTAGAAAATTCGGGGACAAATATGTCACTTTTAATAGATTTACTTAAACCTGAAGAACAAAAATAAAATATTGACATCAATCACGTCACGTGCTGTTACAGTAAATGTTGCGCATATGTAGAAATAATTAAACAAATTAAAATGGACTTATTTAATATTCATTTTGGTATCACTCCCTTTGTGGGTCACACTTATATGAAGTCTTTCAGCAATACGTCAGCAAATGATCTCGACTTTTCTTCCATTTCAGATTCTTGTCGTCCCATAAAAGTGTCCCTGCCAGTTAGAATGTACAAAGATATTGTTGTGTTGTTTTTGTAATAATAATTTGATAAAATTAAAATGTTCGCAGTTAGTTTTAGATCCCCTGGTGTTTTAATTTAAACGAATCTTGTGCTTTGTTGCTGGTTGAACCTGAAAAAATCTTCTCAGCTTTAAATGTCATCGTGTATTATTTTGGCAGCCCATGGAGCTTTTTTTTGTAAACGGTTTAAAAGAATTTGGGGGGACTTTGGTGTTCTATTTTTGGAAAATTTTGAGCTGACCTGTTTTTGAGTCAATTTTGGGACGTCGTTTTTTTGAAAAATATAAAACAATCTTGAGGTCCTGTTTGGAAAGAATTTGAAAGTGCTTTGGAGCCTCTAGTGTCTTTTCTTAGAATAATTTAATTAAATTTCTTAGGATACGTCATTTAAGTCATATTTCACTTGCCAAAATCAGTCTTATCTTAGCAGTTACTAGCCCCGCCCACCCACCCTCTCTTTACTTAGAGGATATGTCATTTGCTAAAATCAGTCTTATCGTAACAACTACTAGCCCCGCCCACCCACCCTCTCTTTTCTTAGAGGGTATGTCATTTACCAAAATCAGTCTTATCTTTTCACATACTAGTCCCGTCCATCCGCCCTCTATTCTCTTAGAGGGTATGTCATCTGCCAAAATCAGTCTTATCGTGGCAGCTACTAGCTCCGCTCACCCAGATAGAACTGAACCATATTATGAGTAGTCACTGGAACAACGAAGGGGTGGGTGGGGGGGCTACGTTTGGTCATAGAACTAGAAAAAGCTAAACTTAGCTTACTTTTACAAAAAATGATAACGAGCTTACTTATTGCACAAGGCAGGAATTTTGAACATCCTCTTGAGTATTTAGTTGGTTATGCTTTAATGGATTTTTCAAAAGAAAAAGAAAAATTGGTCTTATTTTTGTTTATAATTTATAAATGTCTTATTAAATGTTTTTTTTTTGTTTATTTATTAATAAAACATAACAACTTGTTTTATTAATAATTAATTGTGCTCACTGGTTGTTAACGTTATTGTCCTAAAAAAAATAAAAGGTGGAATTCAGTCACCGTCGTTACTAAGAAATCAGAAAGTAAGCCGGACGTATTTACGCATTATGTGCGTGTAGTGTTGCCAATTTTTCTTTTATAAAATTAAGGACAAGGATTTCAGAAATTTCAAAAAATTAAAAACAGCTGCAGAAGCCAGCAATTTAAAAATTGTAACGGGACTTTCGCGATTTAAAAAATTCCAAGATACTGAAGTATCTAAAAATAATGAAAATCTGAAAGCTCTGAACATTATAAAAATTCTAGCCATTCTAGCTTCTAGAGATTTTATAGTTTCCAGTGGTTTCAAAGATTAAAAACGTATAAACGTTAGTTTTACCTTTTCGTCTAGATTCCAATGTTTATCAATATAAAACCCACTTTTTGTCCAATAAAATGAGTGATCAGGAGGAAAATCGGGTGGGTGGGCGGGACCACTTTGAATTTTTGTAAATACGATTCGGTCACATGATAAAATAAAATAAATTTCCATCTAATCAAATAAGGCAATGAAAGTCAAAACCGAAGGTCATGGGGATTAATTTTAGCTTTTTGTCTAGATTACTAGATTCCGCTTGTATTAAAAGTAAAATGCACTTTTCGTCCAATAAAATGAATGACCAAAAAGAAAACCGGGTGGGTGGGCGGGGCCACTTTGAATTTTTTAGGTCTAATTCGCCACTTCACATAGTAAAATTCAGAATTCATCTAATAAAAAAAAACAATGAAATTCAAAAGCGGTGGTGGGCGGGATTAGTTTTACGTTTTTTGTTTAGATTGCGTGGTTTATGACTATAAAATTCCCCTTTTGTTCAATAGAATGAGCGATCAGGAGGAAAACCGGGTGGGTGGGCGGGGCCACTTCGAATTTTTTTAAGCGTTGATTCGACCACTTGACAATATTAAATTGAGTTTTCATCTAATCAAAAAACCAATGAAATCCAAAAGCGGACGTAGGTGGGGTTAGTTTTAGCTTTTTGTCTGGATTACTGGATTCAACTGTTCCAAACCTCCCAGTGGTTTAAAAAAAATAAAAGCTTTCACGGATTACATACACTCGAAATTGCGAATAGAAAGACATTTAAAATTCTACATTAAAGTTCTAATCTTCTAAATATAAACAAGACCCAATAAAATCTTTACAATTTTAAAGAACCTGGGGGAAGTAATAATCCTAGAAATTGCAGAAATTTTAGGCTTTATAAAACTCCTAGTAATTCCCAAAATATTCAAAAGTTCCATAGATTGGAAAGACTAACGAGTCTAAAGACTAAATAGTTTAAAGACTAAAGATTTTAAAGGCTTTAAAGTCTTTAAAGGGTCTAAGAACTCTAAGGGATCAAAAGCCAAAATGCTGTTTCGAATACTTGAAAGATTCTAAAGGTTCTAGATAAATTTCAAAGACTTTAAAGAAAACACAAATTTTAAAGACCTAAAAATCGTAAAGATCGGAAAAATGCTTTCTTTAATTTTTATAAATCCTAAAAGCACTGAACGCCTTGAAGACACTTATATTATCTTGTAAGTCTTGGAGACTGTAACGAATAATTTAATAGCTACTAGGCCCACCCACCCTGACTATGGCAAATAATATCCCTTCTAAGAAAATAGAGGGCGGGGCTAGTACTTGATAAGATAAGACTGATTTTGGTAAATGCATATTCTTTAAAAAAATAAAGGGTGGCGCTAGTATTCGCTAAGATAAGACTGACTGCGACAAATGATATTCTTTTTAAGAAAATAAGTAAGTTTTTAAACAGCAAATCGTCTCCAATCTTTAACGGCAATTCCATTTGTCGAGACAGGACTCCTATGCAGATTGCTTTCTATAAAACCGTGAAAACTGAGTTGAATAATAGAATTTCACGTGGTGAAAGGAATATAAAAATTAAATATACTAATGGCATCCATACAATAATATTCGCCGAGTCTTTAAACCAATGTATGTAAAAATACAATATTTGCCACCGTTCTTCTATCCTGCAACGAGTATAGATTAAATTCATTGAAAAGAACTACGCTCGAACAAGTTCTTACGGGATATCTGCCAAATTTAACATAAAACAAATGTTTACAAAATTTTAATACGCTCTATTGAAGATATATGAATTTTGTAGTATGGATTCCATACGACGGATAAATATTCCAGTTTAGAACGAATAAATGAATAATATAATACAAGCAAAGAATCAACATTGGTAAAATCGACAGTATTTCTTATAATAAACCCTAACATTCTATTAGCCATGATCACAAATATGTTGAAAATGAGGTATAAATGACAATTGTGAATCAACCACAACACCAAGGTCTTTAATTTGGATTACTCTATCTATCTCTGTATCGTTTAATTCATACTTATATTGTGTAGTATCAGGTGATCTAGAAAAGGTTATTACTTTACATTTGGCTACATTAATATTTTGTTTATTGTTGTGACACCATATAATAAAATTACTAAGATCATTTTGAAGCGAGTAACAATCATCAAGCGTGGTAATAGTTTTAGCCACCTTCAGGTCATCAGCGTACACAAAGATAGGACACTTAAATTCTAAAAGTGCGTCATTGAAGTATATAATA